AAATAAAACAAACTAACATTTTCAATTTAACCTCTCTTTCCCAGTTTTTTCAAAGTACCTAAACTTAGTCCAAATGAAAACTATACTGTCCACACTATTTCTCTTGCAAGGAGATATGAGAGATATTTAGTCATGCCACGGGCAGTACAGAATACCTGTATGTTCTGTTATGATAATGTAAAATGTAATGACAATTATAAATATTAGCAAACCTGGATAGTTTCAGACTTCCCTTTTGTTGCTTGTATTAAAAAAAGAAAAAAAGAAGAAAAAAAAGTGGCAGCAACACCAGAAGCACCAGCACTCACTGTAGTTATAAATGCTGGCTGCACAACAGAAAAAGACCCAATACAGAGAGAACACCAGGCTCTTCCTCACGCCGAAATTCTCTTGCTTCTCTTTCCTGTCCCACACTGGCAGTAGAATCCCTGTACAAACCCACCTCCACAATGAACGATCAGCAATGTGTAACTGGTCCCAAAGCAATGGTCCAAGACTTTCCCTGTCTCCTAAGGGCTTACTCCCAATGAATGAGAACAGGTTGTGCAGGTTTAAATGTTTGTCTCCCCCATTTATACCTAGTTCCACCGCAAGGTAAAAAGTGGATACTTTCTGAAGCATGCAAACATTTGCAGAGAAGTCAGGTATATGATCATTATTAACTAGTATAAAATACAACAGCAAGTTATCCATAGTTTTCACGTTACTGGACAGTAGCATTTTGAAAATGCAAGTCTTCCCCCTAGAAGGAAATAAAGATCCTAAATTATTTTCCCAGTTTACGTTATACCAACAGATTTCATGCTTCCCACAAGTTCTTTCCTATAGTGCATCATCTAACTTTTCAGTAAGGGAAGCAGAGCTGCAGAAAGACACCAGAAAAACAGCCTTCTGACATATGCTGTATCAAAAAAACCCTACCACTATTTATTATGAAGGCTCAAACTTTTTTTAATAGCCTTATTTTTCTCCACAGCTGTCACAATGTAACCGTATCCTGTTTCATTTCTCACTCTTTACCCATGCAAGTCAGTCTATTTATTTGCCCATAACCTAAACAGGTGCATGCCTAGTGTGGAAGAAAGCAAACCATCTTTTTTGATGACATAAAACTGTCGTTTAGCCTACTTCACAGGTCTCCACACTTACAGTCCTCTTACTCATAGATCTTCTGTTTATTATTACATTTGCAAGCCATTTATATGCCACCTCAATCATCCTTGTACACTGATCATGAAATTAGAGTCCATAACTCATTAGTAAAAAGTATGTGTTTTATAGCTCATGGGCTAAAGCACTGGTTTGGCAAAACAGGGATTGCTAGCTGTTCTTTAGGTTGGATTAGACGATCTGCAAAAGATCCTTCCAACCCGCGCCATTGTGTTTTACACTCTTGAGACATACACAGACTTTGCTACAGACTGCTACAATAAAAGGAGAAAAATATCACCTCTTCTCATGCAAGCCACAAGTCTAACAAAACGTATGAAATGACACTCATAGGTATCTCAACTGCATGTTTACTCTGCACCCTGGGGCCGGCAGCAAACATGTTGAATTCTGTGCCAGCATGTAGTATTTTGTTTCAGAAGTTTTCCTTTTTCCAAACTAGACTTTCTAGAAATGCTGAAGCTATGGACTACTGTGTTAAAAGTTTGTAAAAATGAACAGGTAAAAAGATTAGCACATTATATCCTCCAATAAAATCTTAATTACTTCGAATGACAAGCCCAACAAAATGGGTTACTAATTTTAGTATAATTACATAGCTTCTTACAGATAATTCTGTATAAAATTAAAGATTCAAAAGTTTGGAACTTAATAAATTAAGTGTTATGACAAAAAAATGCAATTATTAAGCAATGTTTTTTGCAAAAGTTACTTAAATTATATGTTCATATTTTAGTGTTTTACAATTATGTCAGTGATACTCATTTTTCTTTGCCTTAACATCTATGAACCATGAACTCTTTCATGGCAAGCTATACATGCTAGTCAAATCTGGAAGGTTCTAAAATGATCAAAAAAAGTATCAAGGTTTACAGATTAATTTGAAAAACCCTGACCTTAAGTATTTAATGTGAAGAATCTCAGGGTGCTAAAGGATAGCTTAGGAGCTCAATCAATCCAAATGATTCACAGGAACAAATAGTTTCTGATCTAACAATCTTTGTTCACATGTTACTGTTAATATGAAAGAGGAACAAGAGTAACCAACCACGATTACAATACAAACAGTGAGGTCCAAGTGCATGCAAGCCTTGAATTAGTAACTTTGCATGCATGAATCAAAAGCTTATTTCAGATTATAATAATTTGTAAACTGAAGAACATCCTACCCACGTGGCTTCCTTCCATTTTATAGTCTTTGTATTAACCAAGCTTGTGACATTGTATCGATCACTTGCCAGCAATACAGCTGCTTAGGAAGCAGAGGAATGAAACCATCCCAATCTCCAGCCAAAGATCACACTAGTCTACTTCCCTATTTGTACTTTTGAAAATATTTATGTTAATGTTACCTTCTACAGAAAAGAGAAGTTTTGAAAATTATCATCTTCTGGGAATACAGACTCACCTTCTTACATGAGTCAGTGCTTATGAATGTTTACTGTGGCATCAAAAGTGCATCCTAGCATGTGACAAAGGAAAGTGCATGTGTGGGGAGGAAAACAATAGAGTAGCTGCTCTTTAAGAACTCAGAAAACATACAAGTTAAAAATGAATAAACACCTTGACATAATTAAAAAAAAGGCCAAAGCTACTTTTTTTTTTCTTCTAATAGTTATATTAATTCATAACGTTGAAGAACTGCAGAAAAGGAACTAATTTTAAAACATACAGTTTAGCCTCAAAGCATGCATTTGAAAATCAAGCCATTTGCTTACATTTTTTAGAGAATGACTCAATTATTCAAAAGAAAAATCAGTTCCTTTGTACTCCCACCAAGACAGAAGTTGAGTCTTCTACTCTTTCCTTCCTCCCTTCCGAACAGTAACTAAACTAGTAGTTCAGGTGCTAAAGAAGTCAGAAGATGTCACAGAACTTAAAGATAGTAAAGGACTTAAAGAATATATGCACTAGGAATATTTTATGAATACTCCATACACAAAACATTACACTAGCAAATCAGCATTTTTGACAGAATGACAGCAACAGCCTTAACAAGCAAACCAGGCTAAACCAAAAGAGGACTTGCTGGTATTACTGCACTATCATTCTCAACTTAGTGCCTATCCATTGAAGTACAGATACTAATTATGTACACACATTTATTTGACTACATCCCATGATGAATTAACTTAACTGAAAGTGCTTTAAACCTGGTGTGGTTATAGGCATATACATCAATCCCAACTCTGCCTTATTTTCTCTCCAGCACCTGTGATTCTTTCCCAGTTCCCACAAGCAGATCCAGCATTCACATTATCTTCCAAATAAAGACAGATAAGAGAAACTAAGGAACTAACTGCATGGGTGTTGGGTGAAAGGGAAACAATGAAACAAGACATGCTGCGTAGAGGCTAGAGGAATCTGTGCTAGGTACCTGACATATGCTAGCACTGTGAGCAGCCTCGTAGAAAAAAAACCACACACTGTGTAATGCGGAAAGACAAGATGAAAAAATTATCAACTGAGGGTGCTCAGTCTGGGGAGTGGCCAGTGCGTGACAGGAGGATAAGCAGATCTTTGCTGGAGGCTGAATGTGGAGGAAGTACTCTATTACATGGGAAAGAAAGAGGTTCACTTACTACCAATTTCAAGGCTCTTATGACAAATGGTAACTGTTAAGCCACAGTAATTCAATTACATTTTCTCACGTGTCCATAATCTGCAACTACATTACAAGCTGTGCTGGTAAAAGCTATGTCAATCAAGGATTAAACTTCTGCAGGAACACCTCTGTTGATAAGGGCAATGAATAAGCTTTCTAGTATCAACACTAACAACACATATAAAGTGCAATTTATTTACAATTTCTCATTCTCTGTTTTCTATACCCTAAGGAAAACACTGTACACTTTTGCCTTCCCCCCCGCAAACAAAACTAGAAAGCCTGCTGTCTTCTTAACAACTAGCAAATCACCAAAATGCAGTTTTCTGGTCTTGCACACTAAATTCTGCAGAGGACCTAGCAGCAGAATGCAATTTTGAAAGTGGCTAGTTACATTGTAGGAAGCTCCAGTATTGGGGATCACTCTTCATTTGCAAAGCTTCCAAATAGAAGCAATATAATGCCTTTATAAAAATGTTTAACAAATAAAACCTGCAAGCAGATGACGTCTCTCTTACATTTCTTATACAGGTCTCTGTAGCGTTTAAAAAGAATAACCTGAAAGCATTGCTGTGATCAACATAAAATATGCTGTTCTCCTCACAGTGGTAAGAGAGTTAACATTGTACATTTCACTGCTGATCTTTTAAAAAAGGGTCTAATGTGTTTAATTAATTGTTGGCAGAAATTGAAAAATTCTGAAGAAAGGTGGATTACGGGATTTTTGGAACAGAAAACACACAAACTGAACCGTCTGGCTCCTTAGCCTCAGTTTTCTCTACTGATGTAGAAAACCAGTAAAAAAAACCCCACAAAAAACAAAAACAAAACCAAAACCAATCACACAATCCAAAAGGTGAAAGGGGCACAGAAGATGGGATGAGCGCTCTATCCTTCTAACTGGGATGAGCTCCCCTGAAAAGGAGCTTTGATTTTTATTGTAGCACACACCTAAAAGTCAAACCTCAATCTTTCCCAACTCAAGACAGCTTCTACAGTGCAGATACTTGTCAGTTTAAAAAAAAATTAAATTACACATCTGCACCGTGAAGGAACAAGCTCAGCAGTTGTAAATAAAATATCAGCACAAACAAATTTAATGAGAAAAATACAAGAACCACTTCACCTGTTCAACAGGCAATAAGTTGGCAATAACAATACTAAATAACGAGCCTAGCTTGCCACCAAGCCAAAGGACCTCACTTATTTCTACTACTATTGGTTAACATTGGGAACTATATAAAGATACAGTAATTCTTCATCATAAATTGCCTAACTTACTTAGTTGAAGCTAACACAAAAGGTGATGCAATACTTGGTAGTTACTGTGTCTTGACTGAAATGCAACTGGAATAAATATCATTTGCATTATCTGTCAAGATCATTCAAATTGAAACTGACAGAAGCCACACAGTAGCATTGCAAGTGGATAATTCAAAGGTAACTGAAAACTGATTTTCAAATTCAAATTTTGCTGTGGTTTCACCTTAACATTCAGACTTCCAAATACAATTCATCAATGAAGCTGAGAACATGCCACATGCTGTAATGCTGGCAACAAAAGAATGGGACTGAGGCTGTCAGAAAAGGTACAGAATAATACTTACTTTATGGCTCATGTAAGATTATGAAAGAACCAGATTATCCATTATTTAAACAATTCACACAGTCTGCAATAACATGCATAAGAACTTCAATTCAAACAAGAATACAGAAGCTAAAACACAAGTTTGGATCTATTATGCTGAATGAAAAAGTAATCACTTCATACATTCTGAGAGAAAAAGAGAAAAGAAATTCTGCAAAGATAGGAGCGGTAAAATATACTTACTTGGTGTGAAAGCAAATCTGTGCTTACATAATTCACAGTATTCTTTTCTGCTGTGTTTAAGCCACTGAACTAAGCTGCAATAAAAGGCGATCATATTAATACATGGTATTACATCTCTCCACTTTATCCCTCCATTAAGGACAACACACCAATTCTCTGTTTTCAAACATAAATCGGGATATTGGTACTACCAAGCAGGACTTAAATTAGCATGTTTATTAAGTCCATTTAGGCCAGCAAGTAAGTTTCAAAAAGTAAAAGAGGCAAGATATGAGTAATAGCAACTCTTCAATTACATCACTTACATTACTGACAAAGTACACTCTTTGAGCGAGTTATTGAAAAGGCTAATAACTCAAAGCACATATCCGGACATGGACACCCACTAGTGACACCAGTCCTTACAAATATTTCAAAATACGGCACATATATGCACACAGCTAAGATTTAGAACTGTTGTATTTGTGAAAGAATGCCTACTAAAATACCATCAAAAGGAATGTAGGCTGTAGACCAGAATTACAGTTTTCAGTTTAGCATTTTTTGACAAAACATACACTTCAAAATGACCAAAAAGTACTAGGGTATTTTTATTTCTTGCTATGAGGTTAGATGTTCTTTTTATTCACAACTGTAAGCAGGGAGAAAAAACCCAACATACTGATTTTTCTGCTTAGTTTTCATAAAGCTGACATATAAGTAGAACAGTAGTCCTAAACACAATTATCAGTACTTTCTTTTGATATATCATTACTGAACTGTAATGACCCATCATGTAAAAATCTTAAAAAAACGTAACACATTTCCACTGAAAACTGAATTTTCTTACTAGTTAACCTGAAGACTTAAGAAGTATTGTCTTTAGAAACATGTTAATGTGTTTTATTAAAAAAAATTAAAAATTAACACACACATCCCCAAACACAGAACTCACCATTCCTGATGAATAAATTTAATACTGCCAGTACACACACATGGATGATAGAGGGGTTTCTCAGGAGTTCCTTCAGACCGACAGACTCTGCATATATCTGCTGACAAGGACATAAAGCTTATTACACTACTGCTTAAAGGACTCAAATTTACAAGACAAATTATACAATTAAATGCTAGAAAGCTTGCCACACAGCAAAATGAAGCCAGAATAAATTGAAATAGGATGAAAGATAGATTTAATCTGATGCATGACATGAAGACTGAGAAATCACCAGAAAAAGCAACAAGAATGTTATCTGCCTGGTTATGTTATAAAAATCCAAAACCACGTATTATTATATTTTTAACATTTCTAGGAAATAGACATAGTGAAACTACATGCAGAGGTGCTCTTTGTCTAAAAAAGTCATCACTAAACCAACATGTAAATTGTTAAGGATAATCTTGTTGAACGTGGAGACTTTGAAATGGAAAAATTCCATCTGAGTTTTGAACAGGTTAAAAGGGAGGCTGAGCAGAAGAGATTTACTAGTGTCTAATAATGACTTAAATACGCCATTTGCTACTCTGGAATCTAACATGGATGTTCCTTGGTGCTCTTAATGAAAGCAAAAAAAACCTATCATAACAAACAGAAACAAGTATTTAGTGAGTTTGCTACTTTAGTTGAATCAGGCCATCCATTTAGCAGTCTACAGCCCAGTCACAAAAGCAAAGACATTTTCGATTTCTTATTTCATAATTTTAATTTCAACAATATTTCAATAGATCCAAAACCTTCTATATTCTCTATTTTTGGTATTTTCTTACAACTAAAGACTGCAAGATGTTTTGTGGGCAAAGAAGTGAGTGTAAACCTCTCCCTCTAAAGAACAGATGTCTACTTTAATACCATTCAGTTATCCAGGGCATTTAAACACACAACTAAATACAAGTAAAAATCAAGCATTTTATTTGCTTATTGACAGATGTACAGTATCTTCCCCTTACTCCTCCTTTTACTTCTATTAAGGGAAAGAACATAAAATGTCCATTTTTATAGAATATTTAAGTTTAAGATTTTCTCTTTTGTTAATTTTTTTCTCTATTAATCACCATTCAGCAAATCTGCAAGAGCGTAACAGATACACAGAGATCTTTGTTACAAAAATACCAACTTAAAGTACTGGTGTAAGAATCCTGAAAATACGCAATTTCAACTCTGAATCACCTATCTTTTTTCTTGTTTGAAATCTCCAAAAGTTAATGTTTTCCTAGGAAAAGTTCTGAAAGGTACCAAATATTAAAATATTAAAGTTTTTCTATAAAGAAGTTACAATATGACCATACCCAGTTTGCATGGTCTTAGAACAGTTTCTACACACAAAGCATAGGAATTCAAGTGATTCCAAAGAAAAAAAATAATGTGCTTTCTATAAAAGAGAGATTGGAATTCATTCACACAGGCTGAAAACCTAGAATTAACAGAAACATGTATTCAATACCACATCAATGATGCTACCAAGAGACATAAAGAGTACTTCCATCACAGCCATATCGAGCAATGACATATCGCTGTAAACATCAAGAGCGCCTGGTTTCTCTGCCGACAAGAATGCCCAGAACCTCTACTTCACTTAACAAAGGATTCTTTTATCACAGAGCATATTTCCAGATGGCTGCACAGGACAGGTCTCTTCAACTGACAGGCAGATTCTACCCACTAGCTGTGGTTTGCCCACCTTCCTCCAGCATTCTTCCGAACAGAGCTATTTCACTGCACTAAGCTGACAACTTTGTATGTTGGATCCGCCTCAGAAAGGCTCAGACAAGCACTAGAGCCAGCATGTGAAACTGCTGCTTTAAGAATACTCTCTGGCACCAAAGACAACAAGTTGAAAGCACACTGTTCTCAGAAAGACCCCCTTAGCTCTCTGAACCCACTCATTAATGGTTCATTGGCTTTCACAGCAGATCATTCACTTATTCTCAAGACTGTTGGGGGAAAAAACATAATTTGCTTTACTGAAAGCAAATGAATTATTTGGAAAAGGATTTCTGCTGTTAGCTTACTAAAATAAGAAAAAATTTTTTTTTTTCAAAGGCTATGAGAATTTCTAGACAGTCACCCTTATTTTACAAATCCAAATAAACATACACGAGAGTAACAATCTGGACTGTTAAGAAGTAGATAGCTTCATATTAATAACTCCCTCTAAGAGTCAATATGTAAAGCTATGCACCTTATGACCTACTGTCACGTTCAGAGGTAATGCCACTGTGTAGTAGATGTTATTTTTCTACTTGCACACACTTTGCATTGTGTTCTTCGTGCATGTGTTTTAGAAAAAATGACCTTGGGTAATACTGTTCTTTTTTGTTCCCCCAGAGAATGATTCTCTGCCTAACCTCTCTAACTGAGCGTTCATCACTGTAATATCCAAAAGTGAAGATTATGTTATGGTGTCTGGTGCTTTCAGGTGCTACAGAAATGCAATGCTCACACTCATTCCAAGATGAAGAAGCTGCCATTTAGGTCTGACTGTTATTACCCTAAACTGCCTCTCTTACCTGAGCTTTCACCATCCAGTTAAGTTTTCTAGCTCCACAACACAATTCAGTCAAGGAAAAAACCCATCAGAAACACAATGGCCATAATACCGTCAATGGGCTACCAATAGTTCAGAAAGCCCATCTGACACACTGTAGCAGGTCAGGCACACGGTACTATTAGAGCACGGATTTCCTCTTCCGTAAGGCACTAACACAGTCTTTTCTGCTGCTAGTGTTCAAAGCTTTCTAACCTTGGGAAGTCTCTTCAGCGTTCTGGCAAGCGTTGTGAAATTCTAATAGTGGGAATTGAAGTCTGAAACTGTAGAAGAAGTTGTAACATTCTAGGTGTATTTATGGAAAGTGAGTATATAGACTAGTTACTTTCATCCTACTACTCAGAGTTTTTGAGGGGAACATTGATAAGACTACAGTATAGTATCTCAGGCTACATATATATATGTGTTTGTGTATGTATTTATATAAATATAAAAACAGAAAAGTCCAAATTCCAAGTGTAGAGTTTAACATGAAGGTTTAGTTAAAGGAGACAACACCTTAAGATGTAACTAACAGTCCCCTCTTCTTTCTCTTCCTGGTCTCTCTGTTCACAAAATTAAGCTCTGTAAAAGCAGGTACCATGAAAGACTACCACTCTTACCAGGCTGTAACAAAGTATCAACTATGCTGTTTGAACTGAATCCACTGAGATGGATTTACCAGCTACTGGAGTGGTGGAAATTCAGCTGGTGATTTCTGAGTATCCGCTTCACAGTTTGCTACAATCCAGGTTTTCTGGGCAACCAGAGGCCAAGCAATCAAAGTTTCACATTGTTAATTTCATCAGTGTAAGTAACTGTTGGTCTACAGGGCCCAGACAGAGTTGCAGAAAGCAGTTTTTATATGTTGTTAGATTTTAAAAAACACTAGTATTTTGCTAAAACATCTGTTTTCACAAGTCCTAAGGATGTCTACAGCACAACCCAAGGGACATTTCTACAAACGTGCTGTCTTATTTCATCTGGTGTTTCACGTTCCTCCAGCTTTTTTCTTTTTAATCCTCTCAAGCTGGAAAGTCAAGTGCCACTAGATAAAAAGCTACATTCAAAATGATGCCAAAGTAACAAAAGCCAAGACACAAAACTCTTTCCTTGGAACTGTCTTGCTACTGCAATATATATTTGTAGTTATTGCTTAAGATGACAAACAAAGCTCAAACACTGCAAGAAACATAGCACAACACACATCCTTTATTTATTTTGGTTTATGCTAGGCTATGAAGTCCTGGTGTATGAAAGTTCTGCATTATCAGCTTGAACTACATAGTTCCTCAACATTACTCGAGCAGAGCAAAAGTGCTGACAAAACATACCCGCATTTGATCTCAAGTAAAGCAACACCCTTAAAAAAGGAAACTACGCATTAAAAAAATATGACTGTGATCTCTTTGACAACGTCTTTTTTAAAATGAGGTAAGTTACTATGTATTAGTCTCTGCTAGAAGAGACAGAGAAACATGTCAGCTCCTGCATCATTTTACTATTTCAATTTTCCAAATAGATTTTACAGCACATGTAGCGAAGCTAACATTACCAAAGAAGCAGCAGCAGCTACAGATGCTGTTATTACACAGCTGAAAGCGGAAATTTAAAACTCTCTAAGTTACAGGAGCGGGTATGACAGGGTCTACTCAGGGCAGTCCCTTCCTCACGGCCCCTTCCCCTGTAAGCACCCCGGCTTCCGCCTTCCCCGCCGGGATCTCCTGTCACAAACCCCCATAAC